GGACTGGGCGCTTGGAGCCGGGAGCCACCGTTGCCTTCGGCGCCGCCCAGGGCGCTTTCCCGCTCAGGAGCTTCCTCTGGGGCGCGGGACTGAGACGCGCAGGGGCCCGGGAGGCGGGAACAATGGTCCGTTCTAGGGGGAATCAGGGCCAATGCTCGTGGGTGCAGAGGAATGACCAGCCCAGAACCAGACCGGCTTCCCGGGACAGTGGCGGCCCAAGCGCGCCGCTTACGGGAGCAACGGGCCCTGCTCCCGGTGGTGCAGCGGCCACCTCGCCCCGCGCAGCCCAGCCGGCTCTTGATAGGGGCCCACGCCTTCATTCGGATTTTTGTGGTTTCTTTTTTTTTTGAGACAGAGTCTCGCTCTGTCGCCCAGGCTAGAGTGCAATGGCGCGATCTCGGCTCACTGCGATCTCAGCCTCCGGAGTAGCCGGGATTACAGGCGCCCGGCTAATTTTTTTTCTTTTTTCTTTTTTTTTTTTAAGACTTTGGGCAGCGCCTGGCCCGCTCCCAGCTTGGACCTCCCAGTCCTAGGGGCCCGGTTCCGGGTGGAGGCTGCAGGGACCTCTGCCCCGCCCGCTCGGGGGAGGCCTGAGGGGCTGGACTCAGACTGGGAGTGAATGCAGCTTTGTCTTCCCAGTCCAGCCCCGGCCCACACCTGGGGCTGGGTGGAATCGGGAGCTTCTACGGGTCTGGACAATTCTCCCACAGAGAGATTGATGCCAAGAAGTGGGTGGCCGAGCCAGAGGCTGAGGTGGGCTGGACCCTGAGGCCCAGTGTTAAAGGACAGGGCTCCCCATTCAGTGCTCCTGGAACTTTCCAAACTAGAGACTGGGGCTTGTAGGCGCCTTCTAGAGGAAACGCGTGTTTTCACAGGTGTCTTCTATGTGTGGCAAAGGATAATGGCTTTTCACTTAGGCTGTGGCATAAAGGGCTTTAGAAATTGTTAATAAGTTACTTAACGTTAAAACTTAGTCACCCAGGCCCGGTGTGGTGGCTCATGTCTGTAATCCCAGCACTTTGAGAGGCTAAGGCGGGAGGATCATTTGAGCTCACCAGTTCGAGACCAACCTGGGCAACATAGTGACACCTCATCTCTATAAAATTAAAATTTTTTAAACAATTTTTTTTGGATTTTTTTTTGTAATTTTTAAAATATTTATTTATTTATTTGTTTATTTTTGAGACAGAGTCTTCCC